TTGAGCAAGGTTGACCAGTGTCCACTTGTACATTTTTTGGCACCCCTGGTATACATAGAGGGTGCCAAAAAAAGTATTCACATTTTAAGAAAGGAAAAAAACTATTAAAATTGTAATACTCAATATATACCGATAACAAAAGATGAATGCAAGTCACGTGTATACATTTTTTTGGCACCCCACGTATATACACACATCATAATTTATAAATATTATTTCATGCCTTTAAATTTAAAATAAAAATGTTCTTTTACCATTCTTTTCCTTCACTGAGGAGCTGTTCTCAATGTTTTACTTATTTGGAAATATTCTATCAGAAGCCAGAGCTCTTTAGCAAAAAAAAACACAACATTCTTCACACGCCACATATATAGCACTCTAGCTGGTTCCATGGTTTTATAAGCTAATTTCTAAAAGTTCTGGTATGAACAAAACAGCAATAGACAGTCTACAATTGAGTTTCTAAAATATTCAAGTTCATGCACTTCAAGCCATCCTGAATGATCTTTTTATCTAGGAATTCTAGTGACAATGAAGTCATGTATATTTTAGTCTTAGAAATCTGAAGAAAACTAGTTCCAGACTACAGTTCCCACGCTAAAATAAAGGAGAAAAAATAGGGTGTGTGTATGTGTTGATTCTTACAAAAATGTTAGCGCCCTTGATGGAGTAGGTACTATATTGTGTAACTTGGGGTGGGGGTCCCCCCTTCCTTTATAAATCATATTCTCCAAAGTAGTGAAGCATACAGCATACACAGACATGGATGGAGGCTATCCCAGCAGAGGTTGCTGACATAGTTGACTGATTGCAGTCATGAGATATCAGAGATTAGACCTCTAACAGCATCATTTGAACATACATTGTCTTTTCATTTATTTAATAATGCTGGAAGTGGGGTTTAATATTGAGACTAAAGTATTTTAATGTAGTCTACTTCTGAACTTTAACCAGTATGTGTATACACTTATAAAAATAATCATCCATACCTATAACTGAACACAGAAATGGCCACAGAAAAATGACATCCATTAATCAAGTTTCAGAGGAAAGGTTCAAGTTAAAGCCAAAGTTGTGGCAACTGAGAGATGGGCAGTATTGAAGTACTCAGTAGGGCAGGGTAGGGGCTTAATATCATCTACAAATGAGAGAATGTGTTCATATATATATGCAGATGAATGTGTATATATTTTGGAAGAGGAAATAATGAGAGACAGAGAGAGAGAGAGAGAAAGAGAGAGAGAGAGAGAGAGAGAGGAGGAGGAGGATTTAAGGGTCTTGGTTATCAGCTAACAAAAACTTTTCCTTTACAGGGAAACAAAATTTTGAAATAACAAAAATCATAAAAAGAAATGTCTTATTAAGAAATATTCCTACTGCAATGAGGCTGTGAATGAATACATCTTATTTAATAAGCTCTGCTGGGGATTTCAAGAGGGAGCAGCCTGTCCTCCTGACTTTCCATCTCAGGAGAGCATATTACTTACAGGTACGGAGGCACATGGCCTTGGTCACACCTGATCTCACATTTCATCCTGGTTTTTCATAATCTATTTTTTTCTGGTTTCCAGAGATAAGTACTTTGATCCACTATCAAGCAGGAGAAAAACTGTCAAAGCATTTACTGGTTTTACACCATTCAGATACTTCATGGTCTTGCTAACCTAAAGGCAACACAGGCCAGTTAGACAAAACAGGTGTGTTTCAATTGATCCCAGTCCTGGAAATGAAAATATACATATAGTATAATATGGGAAAGTACCAGCCCTGTCTGACAATACTCAGTGTGCAAGGGGAAATTTACCAGGTCTTTAGCTTCTGCTAGAAGGTCTTCAACATCTGAGAAGCTGAAGCTGGCAACTGTGATGAACTGGCTGACAACGGACACAAACTTATCTCCAGGCTGCGGGGGCTGAGACTTCTGGTATTCCAGCTCCTTAAACACAGGAAATGGATCATGTCAACGGAGGCTTCAAATGCAGACACACCTTGTCTCATTTTCCATATGCCTCAAATTTAATCAATCAGAATGGCAAACACATCGAAACTTGCCCTGCCACGTTCTGTGACGCTCCACACCCTTCCGCCCTTCTACCCACCATGCTAGAGCCATGCCCACGTGCACGCACACATTTGCAAACAGAAATTTAACTAACCATCTGAGTACTTTATCAGTGTGATTTCTGATACTGGCTTTAACTTAAGCAGATTAGTATTTGGATAAAATTAACAGAAGTTAAATAATGGAGAGCAAACTGGGTTCAAGGGTTACGTGACTGAAAGCAAGATAATTTCATAGCTGATATTCTGTGCTCAGAATTCTGGTTCCTTGATGTTTTTCTTCTTTCTCTCTTTGCCAAGTCTATTTACTTCCTAAACCATGATGTCTGGGTCAGTAGAATTTCAACCGTCGCGCCTGGCACCATAATCAGCTACCATTTTTCTTCTTGTCCATACCATTCAGTTTTTGTGACTAGGCAGGTAGGCGTATTAGTGTCTTGTTAATTATTTGCATTCTCCATTACACACAGATTATTCAAATCTAATTTTAATAATTAATTTCAACCATTGTCAAAAGCACTTTCATTCCAAAACACCTCTATGAGTGAAGCATTATCCCCATTGCATGGGCACGTAAATTGAGGTTGAGAGGGTTTAAATTCTTTGCTCAAAGCCAAGTAACTGATACATGATGGAGCTAGAACTTGAACTCAGGTCTTCCTGACCCCAGAGTCCCAGTAACAATTCTGCTGTGTACCCACTGACTTAATCTGGATCTACTTTCTTCTGCACCCGCTTTGGCAGAGGCGCTACCCAGCGGGAATGTAGAGGTCACGGGCTATGGGTGCTGATGCAGCTGGTTCTACCCCTGACTTAGCTCTTATCCACGACAAAGAGCCTGCGCCTCAGTTTCTTCACTCACGAAAGGAGGGCACGATCCACATCACTATGAGAATCAAATGAAACAACAGAAGAGGAAACATCAAGTATGGGGCTTGCTCTGACTGCAAGAAATTGCCGCGATTCTAGTACTTTGGCTAGGAAAGTAAGTATTGTGCGTGTGTGAGGTACAGAGACATGAAAGCAATTTTAAAGTGTTTCATTAATGTACAATTTCATGAGAATTCCATCTTCAAACAATCTAATCAATTTGTGCAAATCACCATCAGGATACACGAATATTTAGACAAGCCAAGGTCTGTCTCTCTCCCTTTCCATGCTGTAACTTGACACTTAAGCTGCTGGGGGGGGGGGGGGATGCTTCTGTAGCCCCTTTCTTATGAAGAGTGTGTTACAGTGTGCATGATGCAGGGGCTGGAGAGGTTTCAGCAAAGCCACCTTTAATAAACCCAAAACTTCCTTGGGCCCCATCTCATGTCTTGTTGTGAACTAGCTTAGATCCGAGGGTCACAGCCTCAATTATTAGGCTTTAGGGCTGTCATAACTGCCATGTTAACCTCAAGAAAGCCTTCTATTGGGAGGAAATAAAACAAGCCTCATCCCACACTGCCCTTATCCAGCTTGGCCTCTGAAAGCTGAAGACTATCTTACGTGCTCACTCACAGTCTCTCGGCCCACTGGGGCTGGGAGAAAAAGAGCTCTCTCAATTAGTTTATATCTTTTTCTTTTTTTTTTTTAATTTTTTTTTTTTTAATTGGGGAATTGGGGGGATGGGAACAGTGCTGGGGAGTTGGGGGAAGGGGAACAGACAAGTTGCTGTCGTTTTGTTCTTCAATCTAGTTGTGGAGGATGTTGCTTCACTGGCCCAAGTTGGCACCATCATTGCGCTCTTCCCAGGCGAGGCAGATCAGTCGCCGGCTTCTGGACGGCCGCTCACTGCGGCTGCTGGCCGCTCACGCTGGCTGCTGGCCACACACGGTAGCCCATGGCAACCCACTGCCACAGGGACTGCAGCCCACGCCGTCGCCGGCGACTCACGGCAGCCCAGCTCCAGGTTGAGCTGTTGTTCAGCATCTCAGCTGCGGAGGGCAGTGTCACTGGCCCTCATATGTGGGATCCGAACCGGGGCCCTCTGGCATCCCAAGCGAGTTCTTAACCATCGCGCCACTCGGCCGGCCCTTTTTTAAAAATTTTTGATTACATTTATTCAGGTGACATTGGTTAATTAAATCATATAGGTTTCAAGTGTACAGTCCTATAAGCTATATCTAAAAATATGTTTCCAAGCCACATATTCCTCCTTAGAATTCTGATTACCAATTCTTTCTACAAGTGGAAAGCAGATGTGTTAGGATCATTTTTTTCTATTTCTCTCTCTCTCTAGTTATTTAAAGCTTTCTTGTCATCAAAATGCCCATGTTATCTCCTTTTCTTTTTGAACAGCACCACCATCCTCCCCCGCCCCGCCCACCACCAAGGGAAAAAAGGAAATTTACATGCTCCTTAATTTATTAAAAACAAACAGCAAAGATTAGATGTAACTTGGAAAGAAGGAGGGGCCCCATGGCGTCACTGACAAATGATTTGAAAAATACTTAAGAGAAGGACAGCTTTCTGAGCTGCCTGCAAACCAGTCTCCTTCACCAAATGCCAGACTAGAGCTACGTCCATTCTCCTAAGCGAGGTTTCTCATCCCCTGACCCGCCTCCTCACTGGTGGCAGCATTTGTGCAGGACCTATGGGGCACTGCGCCATCACGGTCATGTTTAACTCCACCGACTCCTCCCCTCCAGCAGTCTGACCTCCTTCCTTCAGCGGAGCCCTGGGCCCAGGTTGTCTGTACACCTGGGACAGCCTCCCTCCCATGCACCTGAGTTTACCCCGCCGTCCTTCTCAGCCTCAAGTTCATGTCCTCCAGGAGAGAAGATTCCTCTAATACATGCCAATCATCCCACAAGCCTCAGACGAACCTAAATCTACCTCCTTCCAGAGGCACCTTTGTCATCACTGTGTTTATCTGGGCGTGGCCAGGCTGAGTGGCCTGACTGCTCTTGGGTATTGCGACACCAGCAGGGCAAGGATTCTGAATCATCGTGACCCCTTGCCTTGAGAACGGACTGTACACCCAAGTGTGTCTGTTCAGTAAATACTCCCCAAAGGACCGACTCAAAGACAACAGAGAAGTTCCACTGCTCTGCTGAGGGTGGACGTCATTTATTAACCGAACATGAACCCCCTGAGGGTCCTGGGGATTATCGAGCCCAGTGAGCTTGAATGAGGCCTGCTGCACAGGCAGGAAATTGGCAGAACTTTAGGCCCAGTGTCCCAGCTCCGGCTCCAGTGAAACCCCCATGGCGTCCTGCGGCCTACAATCAAGCTGCCTGGTTGACACAACCAGTCTTTGCTTCTTCCTTGTTGTTTTTTCTTGTTTTTGAAATCAATAAATGTTTATCCCTGGCATACCATGTGCCAAAGCAACCAGCCTTGCGTCTGCTGGACATCATTAACTAGCGCCAGAGATAGCGATCAGACTGGGAATGAGAACAAGAAACAAATACTCACCATCTCTACTGCTTTCAGGCCACTTCTCAAGGTGTTTATTTCTTTGTCCAGCTCAGTCATGCTGTCGTAAACAGCAACATTTTAGTAACTAACATGAGATGTACAGGTGTTAAATGTATGATGGGTTTACTAGCTCATGCTTGGAAGGCCATCTTAGTTTATGTTAAATGTTTAAAATTCGCCTCAGTGTTCAGATCTTACAGAAAGACAACATTTTCAACTTATAGAATTTAGGGATGGAATTATGTTTTTCATATTCCACAGCCAGCAGGTATATTTCATAGATTACAATTAGAATAAAAACACCTTTCCATCTGTACAAAAATCTCTCATGTTTCAGTCTCACAAAAGTCTCACTTAAGTAAATCATTCTATGTGGAGATAAATTTGAACCGGTGAAAGGAATGGGCTTATCCACAATCATATTCACATTGTGTTTTTCATGATTATTATATTGCTTTTCACTATCGCTCTGGTAATATGAAAATTACAGAATGATGACTTAAATTTCAATCAACAATGATTTTTCTTAAAGTTACGCCAACTAGTTTTCATTTTCATCGCCTTTTTAACAAAATTTTTTAAATATAGAAAGTTTCCTGGGCTTCTTTCATAATGCCGCCTTCTATTTGATAACATCAGAAGCTACTTCGGCCTCACAGATAATTCATATATAAACAAATTCACCAAAACTTCATTTACTTTAACATTTTAATTTTATATCTTACATGGTACATTTCTACCACACTCTACAGAGGGGAAAACATTAGCCTGCTTATCATACTTTTCAAATTCACTGCAAAAAGATGCAGTTTAAAGTGTGTGTGTGTGTGTGTGTGTGTTTTAAGGCCAAAAGGAGGAAGGGAGAACAGCAAGGAAAACTGCCTGCTCTGAAAAAGTGGTGTGAAGTTTGTAGTGAAAGTTTGGCAGCTTTCCATTTTTTTTATTTTTAGTTTCTTTATTTGCATAAAGACTGCTTTCCATTAAAAGGTTGCCTTGGTTTCTGGGTGTGTGTGCACATGTGAACATTACCAGCTACGCCCTGACATTAGCTCTTCTATTTGCTTAACTGTCTATCCTCATTTAACTAAGGGTACTCCTACCTGTATTTTAATAGAACGGCCTTTGAAAAGTACTAGTGAGACCAACCACATTCCTTAACTTGTAATATGTACTCTGTATAAACTCATAAGATTTTGTGGGAGCCAGACATTACATGCAGGAGTATTCCAAAGGAGCTAGAACAAATATATACGAGTATATACTCAAAACCATGTAATACATTTGAGAGATTTGGATAAGATTCAAACTGTATTTCATATATCGGTATTCAGGGGAAAGCAAATAGGAGGACCCTTTTCATGCAAAGCTAACTATCTCGATGGCTAAAGGACAGTCCAAGGGATTAGAAAAACTGTAATACTTACTTTACTTTTGCTGCTTGAGGAATGTCCCGCAGTTCTTCATTTAGATTGAGAACCCTGGGGTATTTATTTTCCACAATAGTTATAAGATAGTGTAAAAGTGTAATGTTCCTACAATTAAAGAAGGAAAGAGCATTAACCATTGTTCATATCTGCGTATGATTTGTACATTCAAGTGGTGGATCCCACGAGAATCCTATACTGCTGCATTAATTTCAAAATCTGGATGTTCCTGTGAGGCAAGGATTCTCAAGAGAAGGGGTGAGGCTACATGGGATTTACATAAATGTATGTCAAAAGGAAGCATGCATCCTCTGAAAGGGAAGAGCGGGGGATAACAATGACTTTTTTGGCCCATGAATATCCTTCAAAATCTGGGTAACGGGATGGGTGATGGAAATGAACCCGAACCACTGCCAATGGGGACATACCTAAACAGTGCATCCACCCAATGAAGAGGTGTGCCCCAGAGGGCAGAACAAGCAGGGTGGGGTAGGGTGGGGAGTGAGTGATGTTTAATGCACTAAACAGGGCAGCTGTTTTCAAGTCGAAAGTACAGAGCAGCCACTCACTGATGACAATTATTAATACTTCTCATTTAAGGTTTCTTTCAGCTCTGTAACTTTTTCCCCCTCTGACTCATTTGTTTTGCTGTTGCAGCAAAGCGTACTCAGAAAGTTAGAAAGCCCCCTCTTTTAGGGCCGGGCCTGGAAGTGGGCCAGGACCGTGCCATCGTGAATATGTTATTCTGGTGGGCAAGAATCCACATCCTAATTTTAGCAACGCTTCAGCTGCTAACCCACCTCCCTCTTTGGTGGTGACAGGGCTGAACCCTGACTGACCTGGACTGAAAAGGCAGGCATCTGATAAACACTATCTATTAGGCAAAGCTGTGGCAGTCTGGTCCTGTTGTCCCTAACTCCACTGCACATTATAATCACCTGAACCCCAGATGCCTGGGCCAAACTGAGATTCATTAAATTAGAATGAGGTAGGGCCGCGCGTGGGTATTTCCTTTAAACTCCCCAGTGACTCTAACAGCCAGGATCAAGAACCAGCAGTCTACTGAAAGTTATCACAATCAGTAGGACACAGTATATTTCTTTGAAAACATTTCCATAATTTTCAGGCAGTTTGCTAATTCACAATGCTAAGTCACTACAGTTCCACCCATCTCCAGCTAAAGTGAAGCAGAGTTGTCAAACAGTTTTTTCCCCCATAACAGTGAAAACCATTTCTGGTTACCCTTGCAGTTTCAAGGTCAATGCAATTCCTGAATCAACTGGCCCATGTGAAAAAAAAGAGTCCCTTATTTTTCTTGCTCTCAATCATTAGAAAACAATTGCTCGGCAAAGTAAAAAGTGGCTAAACATTCTGGCCACGTATTTTGCAGCTGTTCAGCTGTATCATTGCCCTTCAGTTTTGCCCTTCATAGAATCTACATGCCTCCCATATGCCTGCTGATCCCAACTACCATCAAAGAGAAATGCTTTGTTATTTAGGGAAAATAAATTTAGTTAATCGCATCTACCTCTCTTACTGAAGAAAGGCTTAAAGCCAGGTCAGAGCTCCTACATATGTTTGCTATCCAAATAACACCTCATTTGACCAAATATAAATTCTTGAAGAATAAAAAACAAGCACTAAGGCACACGTTGGATTATCCTCTAGACATTACCAGAAACCAGCCTTTAACACAGAGTGAATACACCCTACATGTGGACTATCCCGCCCTTATGCAGTTTTGATTCGATTTGATTAAACATTTAATGAGTGACTGCTCACAGGTAAGGCACTGTGCAGGTACTACAGGTTTGAAGACACTAGTGCTACTTTGGGGGACCAAGTATGCACAGGTGAAAAGAAGGGGAAAAAGAAAGCGTTCAGAAATGCTTTTAATTTATTGGCTTTGAAGTCTTGTGCATTAAATTCTGTAGTAACTTCAATAAGTAGATAATCACATAGTAAGTGTAAGGTTATCAGTAAATTGAGGGGGCAAAGGGTATGAAAGGTGTGTGTGTGTGTGTGTGTGTGTGTGTGTGTGTGTGTG